GATCCCATTCAAGTAGTAAACTTTCATTTATTCATGTACACCGAGAAAATGTGTCCCCCCCCCACTGAGATTTTAATTAGGAATTTTTCCAACTCAAGGTCAGTGCTGTGTCGACTGAAACGACTCTCGCCTCATTCCTTACAAAGAGTGCATAAAATTTTGATTGTTGTACGTCGACTGGAATTTCAGACCCTTCCTTCTGTCACTTCTAATTGGTACGGTGTCATCTGCATAAGATCAGTGCTTTAGACGCAAGAGGTGGAGGGGACATAAAATCATGGACCTGCGGCAAACAGGCGTTTTACCATTTACGTAGCCGACAGACCACGATGACGCCTTCAACATCGCTAAATGTCAAACGTCAGTCGGACCGCCGCCAAGGTGAACTTGAAACTTCTTCATGTTGCCATACCGCTCCGTAAACACGCAACCGGTTTCGCCACTCGCCGTCCAAAGCTGCACTTTCTCATCCTACTTTCGGCGCTGTGGCCGCTGATTTCTGCCGCCGGTATCTTGCACGGAACAAGCCTCACCTTCTTTCAGTCAGTTTTTGCACAGGAAAGAAGGGAATCACGGTAAGGGCGAGTTGTCTTCTAAAACGCTCGGGTTACCATTCGACATCCTTTCCAGAAAGTTGAACACTCGCACTGTTAAAACTTCGATGAGTACTCAACAGTACTTATACAGAAACAAGTACATACTCAAACAGAACCAAGTACCTACCCGCAAAACATATTGAAGGATGGGTGATGGTATGTCAAATGAATGTGTTGACTGTTGCGCGTAAAGTTGATCTTTGTTGAAAGACCGGATTAAATGTTTAAAAGCGAACGTTCTGTCTCGTTATACGCCATCCACTTTGTGTAAACTCAACGATTCAGAAAAATATCCAGAAAAGAAAAGCACTGCCACTGAACTTTTGCCCAAGTAAAGTCCTAAGTTTCAGTTTAGGAAGAAAGGGGACTACTCTTACCTCAGAATGATCAGTGCAGTCTCGTGAAAGACAAAAACACTCGTTGAGAGAAGAGAGGATGCTACTCCAATCTCATGTCACTTCTCCGGATTCATATTATATTAATTCATATTCATATCATATTAATCTGATGTTAATCCACATGTTCATTGTGATTCGCATATGTTAATCAAGTAGCAATAGTTATTTAGTACAGAAAACAAGGTCACCGGGACATGAATGAAAATTACATAATTGGCCTGCTGATTATTTTTGGAACTATCCTCTGAGAAACACAGTTCTTCTGTGCCCGGAAAATATGATATTAATTCCGTTTTCAGTCAGTTCAGGCAGTGCATTGCATCTGCACTGGGTTTTTCGCATGGTTTGCTAAGGAAAAGCTGATAATAGGAGGAATTCTCGGTGTTCTACGTTCGAATTATCTCAAACACTATTGAATGCACCGTCAAGAGGATCAACTACCGCATTTCAAATTCATTTTGAAATTGGAAAAACCATTTTAAAAAGTACGTAACTGCCAAAGAAACCCTGGAACAAAAGCGACGGGGCATCCTGAACCTTGCAGCACTCCCGTCCACTCTACAGATTGTTTAATGAAAAAAGTGATCAGTCTTCGTTAACTGGGTATACAGCGGAGGCCTCTATTCCTACTAATGCTTTAGTCCACTTGATTTCAGTGAAAACGATCCGCTTATTCAGTACTTAAGTACGGCTAAAGGTGTCTAAGACCAAGACCGGTTTCCCGGTAATATATCCCTTGCGCCCATTTAAAGCCTTACAAAGACGGATGACTGATGAGTTGCAGATCCCTTTCCGAGAAAACTGGTTCTTCTACTATGCTGTATCTGCCAAATTGATGAACAGTTCCATGCATAATGATTTTCTGTAGTATTAAGTATTCGCTGGGCCCTACAGATGTTAGCTGCGATTTCTATGGGTGACCGTTATTAGAAACATTTATTTATTGGAATCAGAAAAAAACTGACGGATGAAGAGGTAACGCATAAGTAACTAATCCTAGCTTTAGGAAGCAAGTTTGATTACTGTGAAGATGTTGGTTCATCCATCCATAAAACGAAGGGAAATGAAAGGTACCATATATTAACGAGTTAAGTGACGCCTTGACACCTCAAGCCTGACTCATATTCTCATCGATACCGTACCTGTGCAATGATGAAGGAAATCGAATCGTTCATGAATAACCGGATTAAACTTAGTCTGACTTTCTATGGGCCTCAGTCTGCTTTAATAACTATTTGTGCTCTCTGCCCCACCCCAGCATCCAAACAATCACTGCAAACCAATACATCCCGCAAACAGGCTCTGAACAAAAACACCATATGCAACTTGTTCCATTGTTTTATCATCTAAAGCGATC